TTTAATGTAAATCCACCGCCTCTTCCGGACTGTGAACTCCATCGCAGGGAAAACATGTCACTTCTTATCAGACCAGAATGCTTGAAGTAGTGTGTATGCACAGTTGGGTATGGATAGTCGCTCCCCGAAAGAAATAATCGTGCTACACCGCCTCCAATGGCTTGGCCACGTTTTGCTCACCAACTTTCTTTCCGTGCTCTCATTGCAATTGCTGGGCAAGGCTGAAAGAAGAGCCGCGGTGATCAGACAACGACATGACGTATAGGTCTAAAGAACCTGGCTTCTGTTGGTGCAGCCCACCTTCCAGGATTGGGCCCAAGGGATGAGAATTGTCGTTGGTTAGAGACACGGAGAGATATGGTCCAGAATAGAAGTCCGTGGCGCGAATGCTATGCGGTTTGCTTCTGGAAATCTCGTGCCGCGTGAAAAACAATAAACTCACAAAAATATCAAAAGTATACAAATGAAAAACATTGTTATACTCGTTATTCGACGTTACTGTCTGACCCCCCCCCGTGTTCTGTTATTTTTGCTGTTGCATTGTAACCAAGCCTGCTCGCAATCCGGTGACATACATAATCCGACTTTGCACTTTTACCATGTAGGTTCGCTTTCTTTTCCCGTTCTTAAAACTAATATCAATCCCTATCCTCCTTACACATTCTCACTTACCTTGTGTACAATATGAGTTTAGCAGCGATCAGTGAGGTTCGCTTTACTGTGTTACGCTGTTCGACTAATATAATGATGGTGTGTTACCCCTATGTCAACCTGTTCGCACCAGGGCTGACCAGAATTGCGAATTCATCTTTGTTCAGATGTCTTCCATGGTGGTCCGGTGTTCAAAGCTCGAACGAGACGGTGGATATAAACCACTCTAGGAAGAGGAATACTTGAGTCTAGTGCTTCCCGAGTTTATAGTTGACTAGATGAACTGAGGATTATGCATGCAGATTTATTCTGAAGGGTGAGGAATTCACACCAAATCACTACTCACAAGTAACTGAATTGAATGCGTATTCGATAGTCGGTTGCGTGACACTGTACTGTCACTCGTGTGATTGTCAGAGTTCCTGGTATCTGTAGGATTTTGAAGCGACATAATCTACTTATAGATTTCTAACAGCTTTTATTAAATGGCTCTAGAAGAGGACGATTTTACAGGGATTGATAGATTTGCACAAAACAATGGGAACATCGACAAACCCTTTTGATAGTTTTTTTATTTCCACGAGTTTCGCTTGTAGGTTCTCCTGTGGGAATGCCTAATTTGGAGATAACGGCTAGAAGCAATCTTCATCATTGTTTTTATGTACAAGCCGAATCGAGGAGCAAGGTTCCAGCTTAAGGTTGGTGCACGCTGCCATAGTATAAACCGAACCTGTCTTAGGTTTCAGACAGTTGTGTCTGAGGCATGTTCCTCGATGTGTGTGTGTATTTTGATGCAAGTGAGATGAGGTAAGCGAGTTGGTAACACGGAGGTTCTTCCTCATATTTTTCCAACTGTCTTGGCTGAGATTTCATCATCTTAACAAACTCGCATGAACAGACTTTGTTAGGATGTTCTGTTACCCACGAATGAACACAATGAAAGAGGTGAACCCCATACCCTCGAAGATCTGCTGCTCGCTTATGCGAACCGCTAACCTAAGTCATATGGCTTGTAGTGTCGATCCACACAAAGACCCCTATATGTTTAGTGTGACGTCGAGCCAGACGACGACAGAGTGGGGTGGTAGTAGTGGTGCACCCTGTTTGTTAATCATTCGGACTCATTTTCCTCGCCGCCTCAAGCATTCTCATTCGTTCTGCATGTTGGTGCTTACTAGGCTATTATCATGCCATCTTTAGTCGCTTACGGTTATATGATTGTCACGGTATACCGCGCTCTAATTGCCCTTTACTTCTTCTGTCTGAAACTTGAATCCAAGTTCACCAGCAAACTGTTCTTTTTGTCGCATAGTTTCCGTTTTAAACTTAAACTTTTAAGTTCTTGTAAGTTTCAGGTGTTTGTATTCTTCTCTTCCTTTGTGATATCATGAATACCGAATGCCTAATTACTCTTTTTTGCGCGTCCTTATAATGGTCAGGTCATAAACAAAGAAGTTTGTTGTATCGTGGTCACGGTTCATTGTCATATGTTTGGCTCTTACTATTTGCTTGTACGTGTGAGTAATGATCTTTTTCACTTTATTTCAGGATGTTTAAATCCTAATTGGTTGGCCCGGTTGTTGCTTATGATCAGCCCGTGACTGTACCTCAATTCCCAATCATGATGCATTCCACATCTACTCCGTGGCTTCAAGCCTTGTCCTCACATGATTCAACATCTACCTCAGGCTACTCTTCCATGATGGCTTTCAACCCGGTTTATCCCACCCTGAATCCTCCTCCCTCACTGTCACTATCAGCCACATCAAACCAGACCACAAATCCGGTCCTGTTCCCTCAGTCCGAATCAGTGCCTACTTCAAATTCATCCGTTTCCGGTAACGGCTCATCTCCTTTTGTTAGATCCATCCCCTTCGTCATTTTTTTTATACCGCGTTTACCCCGTTTTTTTTAGTGTCCATCATCCTTGGTGTAGTGTGTAATTTTCTACTCAATTGGACGTAATTAATCGCCCGTAAAACTGGTCGGGGTACCATCTGTTTTTCTGTTCACGGTCTCATAATTGCCATAGGAATCTCACGATGCACGGTCAAGCTAGTGTTAAATGTGAACACACTGATTGTTGTTCTAGCACCGTTGCTGAACTGTCGTGGGACAATAAGTTGACAGTGCTGAGGTAAATCGTAGGTAGGTAGGGTATTCACTAGTTGTGTTTGCTGGCTAAATAAATTGTTCGAAATAGCCATAGACATTTTTTTCGTTGGAGCATGTACTCTACATGTCACCGTCTGATCTTTCGTACTCCGACGGATACGACCCATTGAAAATAAAAGAAAATGGTCAGCGGTAGCCAGTCAATAGGGCACCAACCAAAGGCGCATAATTTATTGGACGAGGTTGGGGTTGTAGTTGCTTAATGAGAAGCTTTGTGCTAGCAGAGTTTCCTTGTTTGCTGTCATGCCGATACCGCTCTTCTTTAGCCTATTCCGACTGCATGTCTCTGAAACACTGAAATCCCAATCTTCATTATCCGCCTCGGACAATGCCAAGCCACATTTTTAATTGTCCACCAGGGCGACAGTGCGAGATAAGGCACTGCTGGAGGGCAGGTTGTTGTTTGTCGAGTTCGGTAGCCCAGCAATATAAAAGCTGATCGAGCCATTACAGTTGCCTTCGTTCTAAGGGCCAAGACAATCACCCAATGTCACAACTGCGTCGCGTTAGCCATTGAATAACTGCCCCCACCAGTGATCTGCCGTAAGCAGTATTGGTTGAACGTTTCCATCAGGTCAACACCTAGTGACCACATCTCAACCGTAGGTCAGTTTTGAGTAATGGTCGCGCAATAAATGCAAAGTTTGGTCTCGTTGCGATCCAGAAGCTCTTTCCTGGAAGATACTGAAATGCTCGTCTGATACTGTTCGTTCTCAACCGAGCCTCATCTTTCACTTGATCAATTAGAAGAGTTTTAGAAACTGAAACGCTTCGCTGATTGACCGTTGACAAGTATTAGCTGGGGGGGGGGGTAGGGCACATCATGGGGAAAATGTTTTATTTAATTTTTTATGTCTTTTTACTTCCTTTTTCATTTATTGAATATACAAGTGTACAGTCAACTTTCAGGAAGGGGGCCTCGGCTACACAAAGGCTGTCTGGGAAAAAATATAGAAATGTGGAAGACGGGCGGTGTTGGAGCGGTTCGAACCCGGGGCACACTTTGGTGATCTAATCACGTGGCNTTCGGTTAACTGATTTCGTTTTCCCACAGGTCGATTATCAGTGAACCAACATAATGCGGCAGCATTTTAACTCCGTTCGTCCCTAGTACATAATGCTTGGGACGATTTCAGGAACCACATGGGGGTGCTAGTTCTCTCAGCACAACACATTTAAATGTTTACACTCATCACGTCCATAGTCCGGTTATCCAAAATACACAGTCATCGTGCATCGAATCGGTTAGAGTTCCCGGTTCATCCGTCTTCTATGTGTGAGCTGATCGCTCGCCCCAAATTGTGCATCAAATTTACTCCCTTTTTTCTCTCCGATTCCAGGGTCACGAACTGATATCAATTCGGTAAGTGATACACTTTGTGCCCGGAACACCATTTTGTCTCTCCAATCGCATCCCTCCTCCGAAATATCAAACTGCCACCGGATCCACGTTCTGGTTTTCCAATTTTCCGCATAGTGTTCTATCCATCTGTCTACAGTTGCATTCCGAGATCCACTATCTGACTTTTGGTTGCATTCCGTTAATCTATTGGTGTAGTTATGAATAGGAAACATCAGAATACGGAACAGTGGCGCATTTATCAGTGTCGGAGGAAATAACGTAATAGACAAACTCGATTCAATTTCCGTTGGAGCAAACTTCGTAGTATTCACTAGAATGAGTTGTGAATCGGATCACCGTGGTTTGTGATTTTGTCCGATTGTAATGGCAGGATTAAATGGTTTCAATGAGTTTATTTGGTACGATTCACCCTAGGCAACACAACAAGAAGTTGGAAAACATTGTTGACTCCTGGCCTATCTCATCAACAATGTCACTCCAGATTCCAGATCACTTATTAAAATAGAGACCCTTGTGATATTTTGCATTCTTTACTTCGTTTCTGAGGCACGGCATTTGGTACTTACAACTCAACCGTTCAATCCTCCGTCGTATTTCAGCTTCCATCGACGGTTAACAGTAGTATGCTTCCACAATTGAACACAGTCGGTGCTGGAGGATATTACGGCTTCGATCCGGATCCACTTTCCAGCAACCCCGTATCGTCTACCAACCCTTGGTATCCAATGGTTTCAACCTTGGATCCTTCATTAGCCTCGGGAGTTGCCACTTCCATCCGGTCGTCCAATGCTGGATCGACACACGTCCGACCTGGTGAGTATACTTGACCACTTTCTTCAGCTTTGGAATTGAGCAACACTGCATTGCTTTCGTAGTTTTCTTTTCCCCGAGACCATAGTATTCTGGTCTGTGTTGTCGGTCCCCCACTTCTGTTTTGCTTTTTTAATGCGCGTTTAATCAGCTTCATCAAGCCGAATAGATTTATTTACGTAATTGTTTTCCAATTGTTCACTTGTCCCTCCAGTTACTCCGTACCACCCTCTGCTTAGACAAACAGGGAACAGCTGTTGAATGTTATCAAGCTCAGCTCGGACGCGTTTGCGCCGTAGAACAGCCCCATCATCCAGTATGGCGCGGTGGTCGGCTGTTGTGTGTGTGTGTGTGTGTGTGTGTGTGTGTGTGTGTGTGTGTGCAAGCGCTAAATCGTGAATCTTCCTGGTCACCTAGTAGTAGTAGTAGTAGCCCATGCCGCATCGCATCGACTAATCATGGCATCAGTGATGAACTTGTTCTTGTATGTGAATCCCATATGGACCTCCCGGTTGTCGCACACACGCGTCGATGCAAGAGGACCGCTCAGTGACGCGCGCGCTCTGTCTCTCTGTGTACGCTTGTGTTATTTGCGTATTTATTTGTACACCTACTCCCCCCCTGTTTGTGTTTGCATGTGTGGATACACGCTGGCGTGTTTGGACAAGCGGTCAACTTGGGGCTAGGCGTTAGATAGCGGTTCACTGTCCACTGCAGTTTGTCTGGGGGGATTGGATGCGAATTTATCTATCGGTGAATTCCGACACAGCCCAACCGATGCATGTACACATTGCTTGACAAGTATGACCACGATAGATTTTACCATTCAAATACAACCGGTTTTTTGTTGTTGTGAAGTTCACTACTTTTTTAAAATCCATCTATGATTTCTAGTAGTCCGTTTGAACCAAAGGGTTTTGGGAGACCGATGTGCAGTTACGGTCAGGGCAGTACATCAAATTGCAATGTATGCACCTTTAAACCTTGACTCGGTGATACAAATACCATAGTTTATTTGCACAGGAAGTGCCGTAGTCTGTGCCGTGTCTGACACCTGTTCTCCTGACTAGTTGACTGTATGTTTAGGGTTAAAGTATCCCACCTATTTCAGGGCGGATTCTAAACTGAACTAGCGATAGTGTCTTTGCAAATAACGAAATTGTCATTTTAAGGATACATTACTGTCTCTTCAATAGAATACTCAGCTTTTCGAGTACCACCTCGTCATGATGATCATACACACTCCATGTTTTATTATTTACAGCCACTATCTACACAACTTCATCGGTAACATCCGTTTCCGAAACCGAGATGGCCAAGGGAACTATTTCTGAGGTGCGTGAATTTGTTTTGTGGTTCGCAGTGTTCGGCACAACCAGTTCGTCCTCCATCGTTTTTGCTATCGTTGATTTGTTCCAGTATGTGTGTGTGTGTGTGTGTGTGTGTGTGTGTACTCATTGGCACGCCGTGCATGAGAGCACTTCGTTGTACGGTGGAATTTATTTTGTAACATCGTTTTCCTTTTACGACCCTGTTCGAATGTCCTGCTTTTGCTCAAACCGCAGCGGTCTTGTTTCCGTCTGTGTGTGGGTGGGTGTTTTCGTATGCCAATGAGTCATATCCCGAAGGCCGCCATTCTTTTGTCACGGTTTGACACAAGATCAGCTTATTTCGGACTGGGACTAGGAATTACCAAACCCGCTTGGGAACAAATAAAAGGAGCACATGTTATCGGGAATTGCCTGTGTATATACTCTGTCGTGTGGTCCAGTGAGCGGAACGAGGGGGGGGTGGCGTTCGAGATTGGAATTTAGTCGACTGGTGCTTTTGAACCATGTTTTCGTTCTGACGCGTTTGCCAACTAACTCAGGCAGGCGCGCGTGCGTGCACGCACACATCCATTTGTAATCGGAATCTCTGTCTCTTTCGCTACTTTTAGTTTGTGTTGTGATGCCTCTAGCTCCTATCCATTCGCTCTCTAATGGCTTCTAAACCTTTTTGTTTTGTCCGCCATTCATACAGACACACACAAGGTTCGTCTAACAAAATCTCACTGTTTGATAGTCCAACTCCAGCTGACTAAAACTGATAAAGTTGAACCGATTAAAAAGGTTGGTAGTGATGGTGGAGACTAAGATGAGAAATGAACTTACAACCTGCACGGTTTTTGGCCCCTTCCCAATCAATGACGGTTAGAAAATGGGAATGGTCGCTTGTCTCCGCGGTTCCCTAAGTGGATTTAGGTGTACCTTGTCATGCGTACACCGGCCACTCGATTCCATTGTCTTTCCATGCGCGTGCGCGCGTACACACACACACAGGCGTACGCACTTGTCTCTGGCCACTGGTGCAATTTCGTTAGCGTCAGACTAACGAGATATCACTTGCTAACGCATTTTTTTCACTTTTCTCTTGTTCGATCTGTGAAATTTTTTGAGGGAGGGAAATACTTTGCCGTCCCAGTTGCTTCTCACCCTCTGTTCCGACCACCTTCTAGCGCATACTGGTATGTATTATCATGGATCGTGTTCAAAACTGGAAGTAATGAAATCATGTATTTAATGCATTCAAAATAATAGGTAGTGCTGTACCTATTTCGCGGTACGTTAATTACATAATCACAACTTCCCCAACTCATTAGCGTTTCGGTAACTGGACTAGATCCCCAGTGTTATCCTGTTCAGTCCGATATCCAAGTTGTGTTGATCTCTCTACTCATGATTTGTTTTTTCCCTGTACAAGACCACCTACACACAGACATGTGCGTGGTCGATTTCCTCTCATTTTACGTATCTATGCAACTGCACGATACTTAACGATTTCTTTGAACTTCACCCTAGTTCGTACACGCTCTAGTGTCAGTCCTGCTTGTTACTACCTCCACGCTGTGTCGATGCACTCTTAGTTTGCGTCGTACAAGAGCTCTCTCTTCGTTCCGTCGTTGTGAAAACGATGAAGTCGGCCGACATCCATCTTACGAATCTATTTCTGGTTTTGCGTAAACATGCCACATAACATTCAGTCAGTCTGTGTTTTTTGTCACAGTTTTTCCGTCTTGTCCTGACTGGTCCACAAAAAGTAGTCAACGAGGAAACACCTCCTGTTCACTTGTTTGCTGGCGAACGAGACTTGCTCCTGCTCACCGAACGCTCATTCGCTGCTGGTTCGATTTCAGAGGCCTTGGTTATATGTCGCTCTCTGTCTCTCGCTCGCGCAAAGTTGGATTATGTTGGCCTATACTGACAATCAAACCGTGCTTCGCGAATCATGTGTCCTATACGAGAGGAGTGATTTGTACATGTGTCTTGCACTTGTCCCGTTCACCATCCACATGCTTGAACACCCCTGTGCTTCTGTGTGTGTGTGTGTGTGTGTGTGATTGTCTATTCTGGGTCTCTGTGTAAGATCAATACTACATATATTCCATGGGACAAATCCACTGATGTGTATGAGGAGCGGGGGGGGGGAGGGAGGGAGAGATTGTGATTTCCACTACCTCTTACTCCCCCCCATCAGCGCTGTGTGTATGTGCGCGTCTGGTTAGTTTTGTGTGCACAGTGTTCCATCGGTCTCGATCTACCACTCCCAATCTGGATTCACTCTAATGTACGTTCTGTATTGCATTTGCATATGTGTGTGTGTTTATAACCACCCGTTGTGGTTTTCTTATTTTGCTCCCGTGTAATTCCACTAAACATAATGTCGTTTCATTTTGTATCGATGCTCCTTGTGTGGACTGATTGTATTTCTAGTGTGTGTGTGTGTGTGTGTGTATCATCAAGCATTTGGCGGATACGATTTGTTGTCAATACACTTGATTCGATCATCAGTCGCTAATACATGCATGTATCGCGGGGTTACTGTCCATGTGTTATCTCATCGCCGACGTGTGTGTGTGTGTATCAATTTATTTCATGTCTTGTTCATTACTTGCTAGCTCGTAGGTGCTGAGAATGATGAACCGCTTTTGCAAGCGTTCCCCCCAATCAGATGGATGCTTGTGAGGATACAAAACAGTTTGCTGTGTTTCATACTCAATCCACTCCAACATACACAGATTTCTGTCTGTTCTTTTGTCATCTGCTGGTTTTTGTTCCGATGAATGATCTGGGTTTCCACAGTCTCCTCTCTTCCCGTCTCTCGATTTGCCCTCTATACATTTTCAAGGGATCTTTTTCTGCAACTTGTGATACGTGTTTCATTGCACGGTGGTCTTTGGCATACTCTAACAAGCCTGTTCCACCTGTAGTTAGTTGTACACCTGACTGTGTAT